CCAATTATGTGTGTGTGTGATCACTTTATCACTCCTGAGATTTATTATCACGAAAATAATGATGCAACACGCGACAAAAAATAACCTATGACTAAATAAACAGATAATTCGAAGTCCAAAAATAATTATGCTAGTATTTATAGAAATACAAAAGATATTATCATCATGACAAATACTGTTGCTTTATGTATTCTCTCCTTGGTAGGGGCTACATTATTTCGATTCATACTTGTTTCAGTTGAACGTTACTCATGGAAAAACTTCCCGATTATCACGCTGGTACTGAACTTTCAGAGTGAAAGATAGAGATGTTCCCGAGAACATTTTAGGAAAGTTTGTTGAAAACATTGATTCCAAATCAAACAAAAATTGGGTACTAACCACACTCACGTACACCTGCCTGATTTACACAGTGGTCACCGGCTCAGTTGAGCATCGACGTGTATTGGGTTACTTGAAAGTTCGGCCTCTGCGTGTGATCTGATGGACTGGACATTAACACTCCAAAGGACTGTGTTTATCACAGAACACTCTGCGGCTTTGTGGGTGAGGCTTTGGCTAATCGAAGGTTTCGGTGATCGATTGCCCAGGAAAATTCACCTATCTTGGCCTAGGCGACCTGGTACTATCGCTTCTACAACCAAATCATGGACATTCAGACTAACTTGTCGACATCCCGCCTACCACGCTGTCGTTGGTCACTTTAGCTGAGGTCATCTTTCTATCGATTGTCTATTGGTATTCGAACCAATCTATTAGAGCTGATCGATCAACTGTCTAGATAGGCATCGATCCACGCAATCGATAAGTGAACCTTTTAGAGACAAATATTCTCCTCATTGTGCTCAAAACCATTACCATAATGCGTGAAAACAATTCAGTTTTCCGGATGATTGGGAATTTCGGTTTCGGGTTGTTTCCGAGACAAAGCTTCTCACTGGTCAGATTGCAATAATTCATTTTTCGCATTCGTGTCGATCAGAACTCAAATAATTTGCAGTACGAAATTTTTAAAAGAAAAACTACAGACTGAAGTTCAATTCACAAACAAAACCAGTTGTTTTCGATCCATCTTCCGCGCATCCCACCAAACAGGATTATGGTTTGAAAACTTGCAAATAGAGAAAATTATACTCATCCTCGATATCTTAGTTTTAAATCAGAAATCGAAGTACACTTGATGAATAAACAGCACTCGTGCAGCTATCCCACAAGTGTGAAACCCATGAAGTTATGCGAGTTCTATGCTTAAATCTTAAACCACAAAAGTGCCATGATTTTGCAACTGTTATCCCCAAAAGGATAAATGGATAGAATCCATTTCACAATCAGTATTATAGCACAAGATGTTTGGTTTTAAGGTGATCGTTCTACAGAACTGATTGCTGGGCAAAATTTTACAATCGAATTATCCATTGTAGCCACTGCTCTATGGCAATCTCTTACTCGATTTTGTTACTTCAGTTCTCGCGTGTTTAACGTAACAGAAACAGCGCCTGTAAGCTTGGACAGCGCACAGAAATCGGAAGCATATCAGTCATGGTTACCGTGGTAACTGGTAACAGATGCACACACACACAGGTGTGCATACACAAATAATATAACGGAGACACAATCGGGGGTGGTAGGGCGGTTTAGAACAACAACAACAGCAACAATAAGAACGTCAACATTGATATAGTCATAAACCAATGATCAGTGCGAGCAACTAGGACGCGGATGGGGGCCAAACAGTTCCATTTGTGCGGGCAGATAGTCCATACGTAGTTGGCTTCACACGGTTCAAACAGAAATGACAGATCTGCCTGAACTGTGAACGAAAATCCTGTTGAGCAAGTACTTACTCACTCACTCATTCACTCATGCATCACAAGTCTACGCACGTAAACTCGTTCGTTCGGGTTGTGCCGTACACGCAATAGTGGTCGACGCCCCTCTTGGCCTGAGCCAATTGCGTCAGCCAATCAGAATTGAAGGTAGTGTGCGGACGAGCGATAAGTCAGCAGTACACGAACCAACCAGTAAGCAACCTGTACAGGTGAGTCATACGTGGTTTCGTTTGTTCCACGATTGGTNATTGTTTAACGGTTCCGCCCGTACACTGATCACACTGAAGACAAATCATACCGAGATTAGTTCGCCGTGGTCGAGTTCGGAGAAACCCTGCGAACAAATACAGATTGCAGTCTGTGTTATCAGAAATGAAATGAACTTTATCCCACATCACCATGTCGACTAGTCCCCGTCATCCGGCATTCTATGCATCACGCAGACAACTGTGGTCCACACTGCCTGGGGCTAAACCAAAATGGATTTATCGTTGTCTTCGTCATACCGGTCTGGGCACCAATTGTGATTCACTTTTGGATGTGTGGTATACCGTATTTCTCACCACGAGTACCATTTGGTTAATTTTGATCGGTATGTGGCGGTATCGAGACTTTAAGGCTCAAGCATATGATCCACGTTTCGGTGGTGCTTGGAACGAGGCCGCGACATTACATGTGCAACTTGGCGCGCTGATTCTCGCGTTTGCCATATTTCCCATTATGATCTACGCCTCGGTGGCACATACTGGTCACTTGGCCAACGATACAGTCACACTGGGACGTGATTTGTTACATTTGCAACGCGCTCTATCCACCTGTACAGTTGCGCAACGATTTTGGAAACCGACGAATTCGGTCAATCATCATCATACTCTGAACGATTCGCAGAATGCCAATCGATCACGGAACGCGTCACTCGGTGACGATGAGTTAGACACGTTGCTACTGAAACGACGAGGTGGGGATTGTTATGCCCGAACATTGCATGCTGTTCGTCCGTTCTCGACCGTCTTGTTTGTGCTGGTTGTGTACATACTCCTATTTCCAGTCTGCGTGCTCGAGGCGGAACAGCTCAGAAACGAGGCTATCGATCCGGGTAAGTCTTTTTGCACACTTTTGACCCAGTAGTACGCAGGACGAGTCATCCAGAGCACCAGGGATGTGCTAAACTTTCACCGAGAAGCTAGACACGTTATGGTTATCTATAAAAAGAACTTTTCAGCCTAATCTAATCGGACTTATACATAAAAGATACCGTTCATTTCTTTTATGATGCGTATAAGAATTACCCGCACAGTGTTGCTAGACTCGTGAAAGTCCACTCCTGTATTTTATTTGTGTTCCCATGAGTTTTTGTTCATAAACAGGTTGTCCCGTTTTGCAGTGCAATGGGACGCCAGTTGGGACTACAGTGGAACAGAACTCGAGCACGGCGACTCTAATGTGACCCTCCCGAGGGATGGTTGTGTTATATGGTATGGGGTATTGCATAAGCAATACCCCGTTTCATAGTTTTTGTTGCTTTTGACCAATCTAAACGACTCAAAACAACACTCAGCTTATTCATCGACTGCACAGTGGAATGAGGCTCTTTAGCGCTAGTTTTTTTTTCTAGCCACGCGCCTGTAAATTTGCACCTACTCACTGTTCGTCTAGCAGGTTTTAGCGGCATCACTATCGGTTTTCTTTAGACACGCACTCACAAAGTGAACTATACAAACGACGTCTAACGGTTTGTTTGAACTAAAATATAAAAAAAGATTATGCTGAAACCATTTCGGTGGATTAACCAGCATTGTTCGTTTATCAATATCAATTCATTCATAGAATTCCGTTCAACGACAGTAGTCCTCAGTTTTGATGTGAGTTATACTCAACCAATGTGATTTCGCACTCGTGTAATGAATGGAATGATCGATCGGGCAAATACATTGTACGGCATTGTATTCTCACGAATGCCGCATGTATTTAGGCTTAAATATCATTCCGTATGGAAGAAGTGAGCAGTGGAAAAGGTAGTTGACAATGGTGGGATTCAAACATTGGATATCCCGGTCTCGGTGTAGGTCTAAGTTTAGAATGTCAGTTTGTTCCTATAACAGTGATAGTGATCATAATCATAATATGAAGCAATATATGACAGTGTGTGAGCGATTTTCACTCGTGATTAAACGATTCTGTAAAGGAAGACGAATAAAGTATTCCGGTAAAGGGTATTTTTCACGGTTTCAGTGTTGTTGTTGTTGTTGTTTTTAAATGCCGTTCACTGTCACAGAGAGCACACATGTCACGCATCCTTTTGTGTTCTCACATTTACAAACCGAGGAACGGATTAAACACGTGACTAAGAATAGGAACCAAATCTATCATATTGGTAATGTTAGGTGTATCTCACCAACCAAAAGACAATTTGACTAAACCGTCCGGCATTTATCCGTCTTGTGAAGCCCTACCGCACACACACACACACACACACACACACACACACACACACACACACACACACA